TTTGAGATGGTTTTTTTTTTTTTTTTTTTTTTTTTTTTTTTTTTTTTTTGCTTGCTATTATTGGTGTTAACATGATTTTCATACTCACTTACCTCATATCCTTTGGGAGATACTTAGATACATTTTTATTTATCTCCACCTTTTAATTCAAGTAAGACAGTAGATGTGAGGAAATTGATACAAAGGACCAGGTTGTATATTGTGTACAATAATAAAGAGGGTAACATGAAAGTCGCATGTTATTTCTTTTCTTCTTTTTTTTTTATTGATGTCCATTACAGTGATTTTGTGTTAATCAGGTTTTTACATAATTTATAAAAAAAAAGGAAAAAAGTTCACCCTTGAGTTAAATGTAGAATTGTAAAAAAAAAAAAAAAAAAAAAAAAAAAAAAATGTACTCTGAATGCAAGTGTTTCAAAATGACTTTTAGAGTTTTTATCTGCTGTACTCAATGAGTGTAAGCTTTTTTTATTTAAAAAAAAAACAAAGCCAATAAAAATTTTTCCTAGTGTGTCATTTTGACATTGTCTTTTTTTCTTTCAATCTCCACAAACTTGAAACTGATTACCCATAAAATGGTTAATCTGCAGCTGCAAACGCCAAATTTTTATGGTTTGTATGACCCCATATCAGAAGAAGTTGGGACGGTATGTAAAATCAAAATAAAACGTGAAAATAGTAATTTGTAAATCTGTGTCTTGTATTACATTGCAAACAATTATTTGATGTGATACCTCATCAGTTTTATTCTTCCAAATACAAACATTTTAATCCTGATGCCTGCAACAAAGTTGGATGGCTGTGCGCGCCGCTCGCTCAGACTGCACCGCATCAAGAATAGTCACTCTATAAGCGATATAACCACAGAGATTGCATTGACACACCTGTCTCAGGCACTACAATACATAGTTGCATCCATAAATGCTGCTGTGCCAAAAGGAAGCACCATGTCAATGTCCGGAAGCACCATTGACTGCTCGGTGCTCAGAGGCATCTGGGATGGACCGTCACACAGTGGAGATGTGTACTGTGGCCAGACAAACCAGTATTTCAGGTGTTTTTTGTTTTTTTGGAAGGAAGGAAGGAAGGAATGGACGCTGTGTGCTCCAGACCAAAGGCGACCATCCAGACTGTTACACCAGTCCCAAAGCCAGGGTCTGTCTTGGTCTGGGGTCATGTCAGTGCCCTTGTTAAAGGTAACTTACACTTCTGTGATGGTGCCATTAATGCTGAAACATACACAGAGATTTAGGAGCAACGTGCTGCCTTCATTATGACATCTTTTCCAGGGACGCCCATGCATATTTCACCAAGACAATGCATGACCTCATAGTGCACATTACCAAGGCCTGGCTGTGGAGGAAGAGGGTGAGAGTGCTGGATGGGCCTGGCTGCAGCCCCGACCTGTCCCCAGTAGAGAATGTGTGGCACATTTTGAAACGCAAATTGTGTGAACAAAGACCCAGGACTGTTGTGCACCTTAAGACTTGTTTGCAGGAAGAATAAGACAAAATGACACCTGGCACACTTTACTCACTTGGTGTCCTCAGTCCCTACACATCTTTTAAGTGTAGTGAAAAGGAACGGCAACATCACACCGTGGTAAACACTTTACTGTCCCAACTTTTTCTGGAATCTGTTGCAGGCATCAGAATCGAAGTGAATGTTTATTTGGAACAAAGAATAAAATTGATGGTGTCACAGCCAATAATGTGCTGCTGGCTTGGTTTCAATGTGATACAGGACACAGATGGGTTACAAATCAGTATTTTCAGTTTTAATTTTAATTTTACATAACTGATAATTTTCTGGCTGGTTCTTACTGTTGTCCCTGGACACTGATGTTCATCTTCTAGACGAGTCTTACAGCCGTTGACTGGATCATGTTACAATGCATACAGTCGAATTAAAAGACGTCTTTTTACCTTCTTGTCATGACAGGACCTCCAGCAATACATCCAGCTCTGTAAAATGGGGTCTACTGTTTTTTTTTTGTCCCACAGGTTTACTTTACCTCCCAGATTTCACAGGCTAAAATGATATAGGAGTAACAAATATGGAGAATAATGTTTCCTAAAGTTTTGTTTGGGTTTAAATAGATCTCTGCCAGGTTTTCCAGTCATTAAAATAGTGAGCCTTTGTAGAAATTTAGCTAAAGCAACTGGTTAACCAGATAACATGGTTCTTTGCAGAAAATACCCTCAAAATCTGTGGGTTCTGTAAAATAAAGTCTAACCCCCCTTTTTTAAAAACTTGTTAACCCATGTAAAAAAAATAGCTGTATTATGTGGCATGGTTAATATGAGAAGCAAACTTTTCTGAATTGAAAGAACCAGAGAGAGTTCATGTTTAATATAAGGCTATAATTTTTTACTTATCATCTGGAGTTTTCTTCTTATGATGTCTAACATTTCACTTTTTTCTCTTTCATGGTGCTAACAGGGTTTCTTACCAACATCATGATTTCACTGCATCTCAAGCACTGTTTGTTGCTCCAGCAGTGTTTGTGGACATTACTACCAAACTGTGCAAGGTAAGATCTGCATGCTGTGAAGTAAACCTGCAGCAGAGCGAACAAATGCTTTAAACACATAACCAATTCCTTTTTTTAATGGGTAAAAAGGATTCTTCAACAAAATATCCATTGCCCAACATTTACAGTACAGTTTACATATGTCATTTATTTCTATATGTAAAAAAGATGAAAGTCTAAAAGGTGAATATAAACCTGCTTTTATTAAGGAAATGTAATAAAATCCTTTGTACATGATCTCTCCACAGAGATTCACTGTGTCCATACATGCAACTCTCGTGGTTGAGTTACTGTTACAAACAAACTGAGAAAACTAAAACCAAACCGGATCCAAATGTCATTATCAGACACCAGCTAAACCAAGGCCCATTTTGGGTAGCAGTTTGACAAACCTGTCACCAAATTCACATGCACTTTATCCAGGGGTAGAAGGATGAGTAAGTCTGACATACTAAACGAATGTAGGTGCACATGGTTTATAGCATCTTTAGTTTTTGTCCCCTCACTTTATAAAAAATTCACTTACACAAGCAGCCACACGCTTCATTTGCAGCTCTCTCCTCAATGTACAGTTCACCAGCTCACCTTCTGCATAATGCACACAGAAAGCTTATCACAACCGAAGAATCTATGGGAGTTATGAGTTGAGATTCACAGCTACAGATACTGCGTTGACATGGGAAAAGCTTCTATGTGTACAAAGTGTAAACCATAAGCTCAGTTAAACCATTTGAATATGCTGTTACATAAAAAGGGCTCACTCTCCTGGTCTCTAAAGGATTCTTTTTATTTCAACAATATGGCATTAAGTGTTTAAAAGCCAGCCTCAATTCAGTAAAAATGGTCTTGTTTCATAATTGTGGCAGTTGAGACAAACACAGTCTCATGTGGTTGATTTAAAACAAGCATCTAAATGATGGCAGTCATTTGTGTTCGATGTCCAACAGGCTTTGACAATAACACCACCTAAGCAGTTTCAGATGACCACTAGTTTCATATTACTGGTATTTTCTGAGTAAAAAGTTGGGTACAATGTAATTGGGGTTACTGATACTTAACCCTATTGATCGATGCTTGTCCTAAATATTTTGACACTGAAAATAGTCTTATAGTAAAACGAGAGAATGACTTGACTTCACTAAATATAACATTTATCCAACTTAAGATTTCACCACAAAAATATGTCTGTAAAGGATTTCAGTGACTTAAAAAGTACTCCAGGATGTTCTGGTTGCAAATCATGGCTTTTCTTTTTCTTCAAAATAGAAAACAACTGAAATTACAACTGTTCATCAAATTGTCAATGTTTTGCCCTAGTTCCACAGATTTTTTTTTTTATTTGTTTTGGATTTAATTAAAATTTAATTGCATTGCCATGATGCCAAAATGCTCCATAAGGCACTACAAGAGGCAAATCCCATGTTTCCAGAAACAAAAGTCCTGTTGCGTCTTTGCCCTCTGTTAGTGTGACGGGCCTCACAACCCAGAATGAGCACTTGCTGACTTGTAGGCTTGTGTGCTAGCTGATGAGAAAGAAGGCTGTTGCCTCCAGGATACCAGCCTTGGGGTGTCGGGGTCACACAGAGTGGCTGTTTCCATCCGGATGCACCAGTTGAAATAGACACATTTCATCTGTGCAAAGCCAAGAGATGTGTGAAGATTAAGCATCAATCAGCCGCTACTAAGCATCAGTTAGATATATTTCAACTCAAGACACAGCTTCCCTCACTGCCTTAGAGAAGTGACTTAACTAAAGCTGAATAATGAGTAATGAGTAATTAAATGGCAAACAAAGTGAGTTAAGCTAGCTGGGGCTGAAAAATCAGGTTCAGTAAATGGTAATATTGGATTGAAAAATAATTAGTGGACCTAACTCAGTTTTTTTAAGCTTGCTATCAACACTCATTTTAAATAAGTTACTTGTAATTTTGGGCCAGAAAAGCTGACCAACTCAATTTATTTGATGTAATTTAGACAAAATAAGCTGGGGAAGCTGTGCCTTTTTTAAGGGGTGGAAGACTTCCCAGCATGCATTTTTTGCCTGTTAACACTGTCTAGAGACTCCTCTTCTTTGTAT